AAGTAGGATAGGGTCGAGAGGTAAAGTAGACTAGGTTAGAGAGGTAAAGAGGTAAAGTAGGATAGGGTCGAGAGGTAAAGTAGGATAGGGTCGAGAGGTAAAGTAGGATAGGGTCGAGAGGTAAAGTAGGATAGGGTCGAGAGGTAAAGTAGGATAGGGTCGAGAGGTAAAGTAGGATAGGGTCGAGAGGTAAAGTAGGATAGGGTAGAGACCAGTGTGTTGTAAACAACATTAGCATGAGCAACAAAAGAGGAATCCGCGCTTAGCCTTAAAAAAAAAAGTCCCAGTTGAAACTGATGCGAATGTATAGAAATGGTGTAATCATGCCACAATTGTACTTGATAATTCTAAACAATGTTGGAATGTTATATACATTCAACAAAATACAATAATTAGTTAATTTGACACAAAAAAAAAAAAAAAAACATCTGTTGAAATCACACTGTGGATGTATAAACTTCCAGAATTGCAATGGGGGGGGGGGGGATACTTATATTACAATGTACAGCCTTAATAATTACAAATATTAGCGTTGTAGGTCTTATTGCCGGACTTTGTGGGAAATCACCTTCCCAGTCAGTGGTTATTGGACATTCATATTGTATTGTACAGCCTTACCTGTGGATCTTGGGTTGTGGGTTCGATTCCCACGGGGGGCCAGTATGAAAAAAAAAAGGTATGCACTCACTAACTGTTAAGTCGCTCTGGATAAGAGCGTCTGCTAAATGATGTAAATGTAAAATGTTGAGTCCCATGAAAGGGGGTATCAGCCTACTCGCTGACACTCACAGATTACAACTCTAAACTTCAACTGGAGGAAAAACCCTGCAGTCGGAGCTACGACCATTCGGGTTTTATTCTGTGGAGAGCTCTGCTACTGGCTGTAAATATAACCGGCATTACCGGTCGGCCTATAATCCTGTTAGTCACACATTTTCTGTGAGTTTTATTTGATGTTGGACACATTTGCGGTTTAAAAAAAATCAGAAATGCAGTACACAGACAAAATGCAAAAAATGAGATTTAGAAAAAAATGAAGTGTGATACAAGGCCTTCTCTAATCAGCCTCAAATAGCCATCCTGTAACCTATAATAACCGCACAGGAATGATTTAACTGTAGGTGTAGTTATGGTTATAGTGAGGTATAGTTCTGTCTCTAGTAGCGTCCCAAATGGCACCCTATTCCCTATATATAAGTATTCCCTATATATATTATATATTATTATTATTATATTATATAAGTATTCCCTATAGACGGGTTAGCTGACAACGCTTCAACGGGGCAGAAGGCCGTGTGTTGTTCTGGACGGCCAGACCACTAGCAGCCGTGATAAGAAACTACCAGGTGGTGAGATCCTAAGTGGCTCGTTTCAGCTCGTTTGATCTTGTTCTTGATACCGTGTCTTGTTTTGAGGCGATGTCACCTCATTTACTTATGCCAATGAGATATTTCTGTATTTAATTTTCAATAAATATGCTAACGTTTCTAAAAACATGTTTTCACTTTGTCACGGCGGCAGGTAGCTTAGTGGTTTAAGAGCGTTGTGCCAGTAACCGTAAAGGTCGCTGGTTCTAATCCCCGAGCCGACTAGCTGAAAAATCTGTCGATGTGCCCTTGAGCAAGGCACTTAACCCTAATTGCTCCTGTAAATCGCTCTGGATAAGAGCGTCTGCGAAATGACTCAAATATAAATGTAAAATGTCATTAGGGGGAATTGTGTGTAGAATCCATTTTGAATTCAGGCTGCAACACAACAAAGTGTGGAATAAGTCAAGGGGTAGAATGCTTTCTGAAGGGTACTGTATATAGTTAAAGCTCATCATTGTCTTCTTCTGCCTGTAGTTCTGTAACATGATTGACAGCAGAATAATGGTGTCAAAATGTCAAACGTTGTGCCTGTAGCAGGATGCAGATCTGTGACAGCCCTGAAGGGTCACACCTTGGCGTAATTGAAGGCCATTTTTAGTGGGTTGGAACCCTTCAGGAGGGTTGTAACGTGTGTTTGTGAGACGGGTCCTGAGTCTCGGTATGAGAAGGGGTTCTGCAGCGTGATGTCCTTTACAATCTGTCTATTGATGATGATGATGTTATATGTTCGTCCTCCTCTCCCCCTTCCCCCCTCCCCAGAGTCAGTAGGAGGTGATGAATCCCCCAGCTGAGATGTCCCCTCCCGTCGCCCCGTCGCCCCCGTCGCCACAGAGACACAGAGCATGACCTCTGACCCATCCCACCTCGGAGCTCTGGGAAATAATGTCCCCCTGAAAGCAGCCCCACCTAACACTACAGGTACTGAGTCGCACACGCGTGCGTACACACACACAAACATACAAACATGCTCACAGCCTCACACACACACACACACACACACACACACACACACACAAACATACATACAGTGACTTCAGAAAGTATTCACACCCCTTTTTCACATTTTGTTGTGTTACAGCCTGAATGTTGTGTCACTGGCCTACACACAATACCCCATAATGTCATTCATTAATAAAAAATGAAAAGGTGAAATGTCTTGAGTCAATAATAGTGTTTAACGTGATTTTTGAATGACTACCTCATCTCTGTACCCCACACATACAATTATCTGTAAGGTCCCTCAGTCGAGCTGAATTTCAAACACAGATTCAACCACAAACACAGATTCAACCACAAAGACCAGGGAGGTTTTCCAAGGCCTCACAAAGAAGGGCACCTATTGGTAGCTGACATTGAATAGCCCTTTGAACATGGTGACATTATTAATTACACTTTGGATGGTGTATCAATACACCCAGTCACTACAAAGATGCAGGCGTCCTTCCTAACTCAGTTGCCGGAGGGGAAGGAAACCACTCAGGGATTTCACCATGAGGCCAATGGTGACTTTAAAACAGTTACACAGTTTAATGGCTGTGATAGGAGAACACTGAGGATGGATCAACAACATTGTAGTTACTCCACAATACTAACCTAATTGACAGAGTGAAAAGAAGGAAGCCTGTACAGAATAAATATATTCGAAAATATGTTTGTTTGCAACAAGTCACTAAAAGTAATACAAATAAATGGAATGGAGCTAAGCACAGCAATTCTAGAGGACCTGGTTCAGTCTGCTTTCCACCAGACACTGGGAGATGAATTCACCTTTCAGCAGGACAATAACCTAAAACACAAGGCCAAATCTACACTGGAGTTTCTTACCAAGAAGACAGTGAATGTTCCTGAGTGGCCGAGTTACAGTTTTGACTTAAATCTGCTTGAAAATCTATGGAAAGACTTGAAAATTGCTGTCAAGCAACGATCAACAATCAACTTGACAGAGCTTGAAGAATTGAAAAATATTATAATAGAAAATATTGTACAATCCAGGTGTGGAAAGCTCTTAGAGACTTGCCCAGAAAGACTCACAGCTGTAATCGCTGCCAAAGTGTTTCTAACATGTATTGACTCGGGTGGGAATACTTATCTAATCAAGAGATATTCGTCTTTTATATTTCATATTTCTTTTATTCATGTTAGAATTTTTCTTCCACTGACATGACAGAGTATTTTGTGTGGATTGTTGACAAAAAAAAAAAGACAATTAAATCCATTTTAATCCCATTTATTAATTTAACTAAATGTGGAAAAAGTCAAGGGGAGTGAATACTTTCTGAAGGCCCTGTATAACAATACCATGCTAAACTTTATGAGTTTTTATTGACAAAAGAAATACACAAAAGTCACTGTGGTTTCTATGGTATGAACAGCAGTGGTTGGCCAGGGTGGTTGGCCAGGGTGGTTGGCCAGGGTGGTTGGCCAGGGTGGTTGGCCAGGGTGGTTGGCCAGGGTGGTTCCCAATCAGAGGCAGTGTGCGTGTGACCATATCAGAGGTTGTGTTGTGAATCAGTCAGTGTGTTATCAGGTGTTCCTTCTCTCACCCTGGCACAGGTGATAGTGCTATCACATAAACACACACACACACGCACTTTCCACTTCCAGGAAGCGCTGAATTGCTAAGTCTTGAAACAGTGGTATTAGTCTGTGTGTTTACCTATGGCCTGTTAACCCCTCTAGTGGTGTGTGTGTGTGTGTGTGTGTGTGTGTGTGTGTGTGTGTGTGTGTGTGTGTGTGTGTGTGTGTGGTGTGTGGTGTGTGGTGTGTGTGTGTGTGTGTACTTATGGCCAGTTAAACCTTCCCCTACTGTGTCCGTAAGACGGCTTTAGTCCAGGAATCTGGGGAGGGGAATTTTAACATTAATTAACACATGAAGAGGGAAGGAATGTACCAGAAGAACCTTTTCCCAGACGTGTCAAACCTCTCCTCTGGGACCCCAGACGTGTCAAACCTGTCCTCAGGGACCCCAGACATGTCAAACCTGTCCTCAGGGACCCCAGACGTGTCAAACCTGTCCTCAGGGACCCCAGACGTGTCAAACTTCTTCTCTGGGACCCCAGATGTGTCAAACCTCTTCTCGGGGACCCCAGACGTGTCAAACCTCTTTTCGGGGACCCCCAGACGTGTCAGACCTCTCCTCAGTTGTAGCCCTGAGCTAGCTTGTTGCATGCATAACTATATGAAAGTTTGAAAACCCCTGTCCCAGCGGACTCTCCTGGCTAAATAAACCACATGAACGGATGGTGGTTCCCAAGGATAATTTCTAAAACCCCTGTCTCAGCGGACTCTCCTGGCTAAATAAACCATATAAATGAATGACCTGATGTTCTGAGACACAACATAATGTTTATCCCCAATAATACATGACTGCTGAAGGAAAAAAATGTCTTAATGTTTTTGGCTCTTTAATTAAATATTCTTACCTAACCCCCCTCCCCCACTCCCCTTCTTACCTATCCCCCCTCCCCCCTCTTCTTACCCCCCCCCCCCTTCCCGCCCTTCCCCCCCCTCCCCTTCTTACCTCCCTCCCTCCCTCCCCCTCCCTCCCCTTCTTACCTATCCCACCTCCCCCCTCTTCTTACCCACCCCCCCTCCCCCCTCCCCCCCATCCTCCCTCCCCCTTCCCTCCAGGTTGTTCCTGGCTGGTCGTCCTAGCAGCGGTAGCTGCGTCTCTCAGTGGCCTGATGTTGGGTTATGAATTAGGCCTGACCTCCGGTGTCCTGCTCCAGCTAAGGGGTGTCCTCTCTCTGTCATGCCGGGAACAGGAGCTCCTGGTGGGGTCTCTGCTGCTGGGCTGTCTGGTGATCTCCATGGCTGGAGGCTGGGGCCTGGACCGCTACGGGCGCCGCTGGGCCATGCTGCTGTCCGGAGGCCTGGTGGCCGGGGGCACCTTGCTGCTACTGCTCCCGGCCTCGCTCACCACGCTGTCGCTCGGCCGCGCCGTGGTTGGCATGGGGACAGCGTTGTCGGGAACGGCGGCGTGCATGTACATAGCGGAGATCGCGCCGCGGGAGCGCCGGGGGTTGTTAGTGACGCTGTACGAGCTGATGGTGGTTGTCGGGGTGTTGCTAGGGTTCGGGTGTAGCTACACGTTCTCTGCTCTGCCTAACGGGTGGAGATATACCTTCGGCCTTGTCCTACTGCCGGCCATTCTGCAGGCCGCTGCCCTCTTCCTCCTCCCACCCAGCCCGCGCTTCCTAGTTGCCAGGGGCGACTCGGAACGGGCCAAGGAGGTGCTGGCCCTTCTGAGGGGCATGGCCAGCAGGGAGGCTGTGGAGGAGGAGCTACGGGACATCCAGGCGGGGCTTAAGGAGGAGGCGGAGCATGGTTTCCGGGAGCTGTTCAGCGACAAGGCTAACCTGCGCTGGCGGTTGCTAATGGGCGTGGCTCTAGTGTTCCTCCAGCAGACTACGGGTCAGCCCAACCTCCTCTCCTACGCCTCGCCGCTACTCCGCAGCGTGGGTTTCCATAGCGACGCCGCCGCCAACCTGGCCTCCACAGGCTTCGGCGTGGTGAAAGTGGTGGGGACGGTTCCCGCCGTCCTACTGGTCGACAGGGTCGGGCCCAAGAGCTTCCTGTGTGTCGGTGCGGTCGCCATGGGGATGTCGCTGGTGACACTGGGGGTGGTGACCTTGCAGAGCCACACCCATCTCACCAGCCTATGCCAGAGCCCTGTGGGGCTAAACCACACCTACCAGGGGCAGAACTTAAACACTCCTTCCTCCGGATTGGACTATGGCTCTTTTAAATTAATCACGCCACCTCCCGGTGAAAGCCAATGGAATGGCAGTGACCCTGCGGAGGCTCTGAGGACTAAGAAAGAGGATGCTGGGATGGGGTCAGGGGTAAGGGGTCGGGGTCACATGAAGTGGATCTCACTTGTCAGCCTCCTGGTGTATGTAGCTGCTTTCTCCTTCAGCCTCGGACCAAGTAAGAACACACAGACACACACACCTACACACACCAAGCAGATTCTCATCATCATGGGATCTCAGGATATGAGAGAGAACAGTGTGTCACGGCAGCACACACAACGCTGTTGGGTCTCTGCCTCACTCTCATCAATCCCTCACATGACACCAAGAGAGATGGCGAGAGTGAGGGAGAGGTGGAGAGAGTGAGGGAGGGAGAGAGGGAGTGGGATTGGAGAGAGTGAGGAGAGTGGAGAGGGAGGGATAGGGGAGAGATGGGGGGAGTTGAGGGAGGAGGGTGGAGAGTGAGGGAGAGTGGAAGAGTGAGGGAGTGGGGAGTGAGGGGGTGGGGAGTGAGATGTGTGAGTGAGGGCGAGTGGAAGCGTGAGGAGGTGCGAGGGGGAGGGAGTGAGGGAGATGAGGAGAGAGTGAGGGGAGTGAGGGGGAATAGGGATGAGCGAGTGGGAGAGTGAGGGAGTGAGGGAGATGTGAGAGAGTGAGGGAGGATGGAGGAGTGGGGATTGGAAGAGTGAGGGAGAGATGGGAGTGAGTGAGGGTGGAGAGAGTGAGGGAGTAGTGAGGTGGAGAAGAGTGGAGAGAGCTTATGGAGAGAGTGAGGGAGAGATGGCGCGCGTGAGGGAGAGTTGGAGAGGTGGGGGATGGTGGTGGAGTAGTCTGGAGGCGCTGGGAGCGGCTGGGACGGTGAGGGAGAGATGGAGGTGAGGGGAGAGGGATGGTGGAGTGCGTGGGACGGGGGAGTGGGAGAGCTGGGCAAGTGGGAGGATGGGGGAGTGAGGAGAGGTGGAGATGAGGGTGAGGTGGATGAGGGGGAGATGTGAGCGGGGTGGGAGCAGTGGGGAGGGTGGCGAGTGGGTGGAGAGGGGGAGGCGGGTAGAGTGGGGTGGGGGAGGTGAGGGAGAGGTGGTGAGGCGTGGGGGGGTGGGCGCGGAGTGGGGAGGGAGCTGGGTGGCGGTGGAGTGGGGCGCAGGTGGGGAGTGAGGGAGAGGTGGAGAGTGAGGGAGAGGTGGAGAGAGTGAGGGAGGGATGGGGGGAGTGAGGGAGAGGTGGAGAGTGAGGCTACAGAATAGCTCCAACTTTATGACTCTATGTTGAAATGCTGTAGGGTTAATGTGTTCCTGATTGACTGTTGATTGTGTAGGGCCTGTTATAAGACCTGTTATAAGACCTGTTATAAGACCTGTTATAAGGCCTGTTATAAGGCCTGCTATAAGGCCTGCTATAAGACCTGTTATAAGACCTTCTTTCATAACTGTATGTGTCACATTCCCTTGGTGATGTTTCTAATGCATTGTTCTTACTAGTGTGTGTGTGTGTGTGTGTGTGCGCGTGCGTGTGTGTGTGTGTGTGTGTGTGTGTGTGTGTTTCCAGTGGTGTATGTGGTCCTGAGTGAGATCTTCCCTACAGGGATCAGAGGTAAAGCTGTGTCTGTGGTGTCTGCTGTAAACTGGGCCACCAACCTCCTCATGTCCATGAGCTTCCTCTCTGCCACAGGTACAGTACAGCTGAGGTTTGGTCCATGAGCTTCCTCTCTGCCACAGGTACAGTACAGCTGAGGTTTGGTCCTCATGTCCATGAGCTTCCTCTCTGCCACAGGTACAGTACAGCTGAGGTTTGGTCCTCCATAATCAGTCACAGGGAAGCACATTGAGTAATACATGATCTTACTGTAATAGAGGAGAAGTTAACCTTTCTTTCCCTTTTTATGTCTCAACAAGTTGCACGCAGAGTAGACGCTACTAAAACGGGAGTTTCAATGAACATTGATTCTGGAAAATGAATGCTCCGTTTGTACCCATGTACCGCTAGCAGAATTTTAGCCACAGACGGTTATTACTAGCTGTCTAGTCTGTGTTTTGTAAATGGCCAATAATCATAAAACACAATTATATAAGGAATTGGCAACTCGTTCTCATTCTGAGAAATAAGTACGGCCACTTGATTTCAACATCTGAACAAAGTGGACAGGCTAGCACGCTGTTCAAACAGTTAGCGACGGACAGAAGGGTGTGTTCATAACAATTCAACTGTTCTGCCTTGTTAGCTAGCGAATAGATCCAAGTTGGCTAAACTTGAAATATAAAAGGTTAGCTGGCTACTCACTAGCACCTGGGCTTGTGCTTGAGATATTGTTTATGAGACCTGTGGTAATTTTGCCTGATACAGTAAGGTAGTCATTATTAGTGAATGTGCATTATGCATGGTTCTGGTTAATCATTATTATGGTTCTGGTTAATAGAATTGTAGCGGGTGATTTGGTCAGGCGCAGGGGGTGTAAATCACAGAATAATGGTTTATTCGGCCGATACAGCGGTTCGCAGCAATGCGTAAAACAACTACAGTGTGACTTAACGGCGCATTGGGGAAAACAAAACACACGGGTGAATATCCCAGCGATATCGTACACAACGCTACCACCGAGCTATCGACACCTCCACATGGAAACAATCACACACACAAAGACCAGGGGGGGCAGAGGGAACACTTATACAGGTACTGGTGAGGGGATATGAACCAGGTGTGTGTAATAAACAAGACAAAACAAATGGAATGATGAGATGAGGAGTGGCAGTGGCTAGAAGGCCGGTGACGACGAACGCCGAAGCCCGAACAAGGAGAGGAGGCAGCTTCGGAGGAAGTCGTGACAAGAATGGTTCTGGTTACATTTGTAACCAAAAAGGCATTATAGACAGACTTGAAAGCCAGATCAGTGATTATTGCAAAAAACAGGTTAAACTATTTTGATAAAATAATAAAATTATTAGTGGGTTTTATAATTGTGGAAGGCTTATATTTAGCCTAGGTATAATTTCACAAGCCCTGAATTCATTAGATTATTGCTAAACTGTTTGAAATGCAGTGTATTGATCTTTAATTGTACAACAAACCTTACTTAGACAAAACATAAAAATAAAAAAAAAGATACACTATATACAGTTGAAGTCGAAGTTTACATACAATTAGGTTGGAGTCATTAAAACTAGTTTTTCAACCACTCCACAAATGTCTTGTTAACAAACTATAGTTTTGGCAAGTCGGTTAGGACATCTACTTTGTGCATGACACAAGTAATTTTTCCAACAATTGTTTACAGACAGATTATTTCACTTATAATTCACTGTATCACAATTCCAGTGGGTCAAAAGTTTCCATACACTAAGTTGACTGTGCCTTTAAAAATATTACAGTAAATGATGTCATGGCTTTAGAAGCTTCTGATAGGCTAATTGACATCATTTGAGTCAGTTGGAGGTGTACCTGTAGATGTATTTCAAGGCATACCTTCAAACTCAGTGCCTCTTTGCTTGACATCATGGGAAAATCAAAAGAAATCAGCCAAGACCTCAGAAAAAGAATTGTAGACCTCCACAAGTCTGGTTCATCCTTGGGAGAAATTTCCAAACGCATGAAGGTACCACGTTCATCTGTACAATAGTACGCAAGTATAAACACCATGGGACCACACAGCCGTCATACCGCTCAGGAAGGAGACGTGTTCTGTCTCCTAGAGATTAACGTACTTTGGTGCGAAAAGTGCAAATCAATCCCAGAACAACAGCAAAGGACCTTGTGAAGATGCTGGAGGAAACAGGTACAAAAGTATCTATATCCACAGTAAAACGAGTCCTATATCGACATAACCTGAAAGTCCGCTCAGCATGGTTGAAGCCACTGATCCAAAACCACCATAAAAAAGCCAGACTACGGTTTGCAACTGCACATGGGGACAAAGATCGTACTTTTTGGAGAAATGTCCTCTGGTCTGATGAAACAAAAATAGAACTGTTTGGCCATAATGACCATCGTTATGTTTGGAGGAAAAAGGGGATGCTTGCAAGCCGAAGAACACCATCCCAACTGTGAAGCACGGGGGTGGCAGCATCATGCTGTGGGGGTGCTTTGCTGCAGGAGGGACTGGTGCACTTCACAAAATAAATGGCATCATGAGGAAGGAAAATTATGTGGATATATTGAAGCAACATCTCAAGACATCAGTCAGGAAGTTAAAGCTTGGTCGCAAATGGGTCTTCCAAATGGACAATGACCCCAAGCATACATCCAAAGTTGTGGCAAAATGGCTTAAGGACAACAAAGTCAAGGTATTGGAGTGGCCATCACAAAGCCCTGACCTCAATCCTATAGAACATTTGTGGGCAGAACTGAAAAAGCGTGTGCGAGCAAGGAGGCCTACAAACCTGACTCAGTTACACCAGCTCTGTCAGGAGGAATGGGCCAAAATTCACCCAACTTCTTGTGGGAAGCTTGTGGAAGGCTACCCGAAACGTTTGACCCAAGTTAAACAATTTATAGGCAATGCTACCAAATACTAATTGAGTGTATGTAAACTTCTGACCCACTGGGAATGTGATGAAATAAATAAAAGCTGAAATAAATCATTCTCTCTACTATTATTCTGACATTTCACATTCTTAAAATAAAGTGGTGATCCTAACTGACCTAAGACAGGGAATCTTTACTAGGATGAAATGTCAGGAATTGTGAAAAACTTGAGTTTAAATGTATTTGGCTTCAACTATATACACAAAAGTATGTAGACAACCCTTCAAATTAGTGGATTGGGCTATTACAGACACAACCGCTGCTGATAGGTGTATAAAATCAAGCACACAGCCATGCAATCTCCATAGACAAACATTGGCAGTAGAATGGCATTACTGAAGAGCTCAGTAACTTTCAGCGTGGCACCATCATAGGATGCCACCTTTCCAACAGGTCAGTTCGTCAAATTTCTGCCCTGCTAGAGCTGCCCCGGTCAACTGTAAGTGCTGTTATTGTGAAGCGGAAACATATAGGAGCAACAACGGCTCAGCCGCAAAGTGGTAGGCCACACAAGCTCACAGAACGGGACCGCTGAGGGCTGAAGCGCGTAGAGCGTAAAAATCGTCTGTCCTCAGTTGCAACACTCACTACAGAGTTCCAAACTGCCTCTGGAAGCAACTTCAGCACAAGTATCAATTTTCAATCAATCAATTTTATTTTTATATAGCCCTTCTTACATCAGCTAATATCTCGAAGTGCTGTACAGAAACCCAGCCTAAAACCCCAAACAGCTAGTAATGCAGGTGTAGAAGCACGGTGGCTAGGAAAAACTCCCTAGAAAGGCGAAAACCTAGGAAGAAACCTAGAGAGGAACCAGGCTATGAGGGGTGGCCAGTCCTCTTCTGGCTGTGCCGGGTGGAGATTATAACAGAACCATGCCAAGATGTTCAAAAATGTTCATAAGTGACAAGCATGGTCAAATAATAATCAGGAATAAATCTCAGTTGGCTTTTCATAGCCGATCATTAAGAGTTGAAAACAGCAGGTCTGGGACAGGTAGGGGTTCCATAACCGCAGGCAGAACAGTTGAAACTGGAATAGCAGCAAGGCCAGGCGGACTGGGGACAGCAAGGAGTCACCACGGCCGGTAGTCCCGACGTATGGTCCTAGGGCTCAGGTCTCTCAGTTGGCTTTTCATAGCTGATCATTAAGAGTTGAAAAAGCAGGTCTGGGAACAGTAGGGGTTTCGTAGCCGCAGGCAGAACAGTTGAAACTGGAATAGCAGCAAGGCCAGGCGGACTGGGGACAGCAAGGTGTCATCATGCCCGGTAGTCCTGACGTATGGTCCTAGGGCTCAGGTTCTCAGACCATTATTCCTGAGAACCTGAGCCCTATTATAAGTAGTGTTCGTCGGGAGCTTCATGAAATGGGTTTCCATGGCCGAGCAGCCGCACACAAGCCTAAGATCACCATGCGCAATGCCAAGCGTCGGCTGGAGTGGTGTAAAGCTCGCCGCCATTGGACTCTGGAGCAGTGGAAACGCCAGGAGAACTCTACCTGCCCCAATGCATAGTGCCAACTGTAAAGTTTGGTGGAGGAGGAATAATGGTCTGGGGCTGTTTTTCATGGTTCAGGCCTAGGCCCCTTAGTTCCAGTGAAGGGAAATCTTAACGCTACAGCATACAATGAAATTCTAGACTATTCTGTGCTTCCAACTTTGTGGCAACGATTTGGGGAAGGCCCTTCCCTGTTTCAGCATGACAATGCCCCGGTGCACAAAGCGAGGTCCATACAGAAATGGTTTCTGAAGGACAGACGATTTTTACGTGCTACGCGCTTCAGCACTCGCCGGTCCCGTTTTGTGAGCTTGTGTGGCCTACCACTTCGCGGTTGAGCCGTTGTTGCTTCTAGATGTTTCCACTTCACAATAACAGCACTTACAGTTGACCGGGGCAGCTCGAGCTCCTCAACTGGCAGCTTCATTAAATAGTACCCGCAAAACACCAGCCTCAACGTCAACAGTGAAGAGGCGACTCCGGGATGCTGACCTTCTAGGCAGAGTTGCAAAGAAAAAAGCCATATCACAGACTGGCCAATAAAAAGAAAAGATTAAGATGGGCAGTCTGAGATATGGCTTTTTCTTTGCAACTCTGCCTAGAAGGTCAGCATCCTGTAGTCACCTCTTCACTGTTGACATTGCAAAAGGGTTTTCTAATGATCAATTAGCCTTTTAAAATGATAAACTTGGATTAGCAAACACAACGTGCCATTGGAACACAGGACTTATGGTCGCTGATAATGGGCCTCTGTACGCCTATGTAGATATTCCATTAAAAATCAGCCGTTTCCAGCTACAATAGCCATTTACAACATTAACAATGTCTACACTGTATTTCTGATCAATTTTATGTTATTTTAATGGGCAAAAAAAATTGCTTTTCTTTCGAAAACAAGGACATTTCTAAGTGACCCCAAACTTTTGAACGGTAGTGTATGTGTAACATATATTATTGTCCCCCTGCAGAAAAGATGTGGAGGTGTGTAGTGTCTGTTACTTCCCCCCCTGTAGAGAGGATGACAAGGGGTGTAACATTTTATTATTGTCCCCCCTGGCAGAGAGGATTGGTGTTCCCAACGTGATGTTCCTGTACGCCACCATGAGCTTCGTCCTGCTGGTCTTCGTCCTCCTCCTCATCCCAGAGACACAGGGACGCACACTGGAACAGATATCTAAAGAACTGGCCAAGAAGTAAACCCACACACACACCAGGGCCCATAGTGACGCATTAGGGACACAGTCAAGGATCTTTAGTCACCACCCGGAACATTATCCTGTCTACCTAGAGTTATAGCCCTACCTACCAAATGTTAGTTCAAGAGTTCTAGTGTAAGACGTGTTTTGACTTGGTCAATATTGGTCAAGACAAACTCTACTAGCTCTATACTCATCTCTCTCTCTCTCTCTCTCTCTCTCTCTCTCTCTCTCTCTACTCTCTCTCTCTCTACCTCTCTCTCTACCTCTCTCTCTCTCTCTCTACCTCTCTCTCTCTACCTCTCTCTCTCTCTCTCTACACCTCTCTCGCTCTCTGTCTCTCTCTCTCTCTCTCTCTCTCTCTCTCTCGCTCTCTGTCTCTCTCTCTACCTAGAAAGCAGCTGAAGGTGAGGTTCTGGCGTCGAGTGCAACCCCAGGAGACTCTGTTCACCATTCACAAGACCCCTGAACTCTCAACTCTGACCCCTCAACCTCTCACCGGCTTCGCCTAGCTGTCCACAGCAGAGGGACCAAGATCTGGGGAGAGAGAGGGAACGAGAGAAATGGAGAGGAGGGAGGGCGAGAAAGGAGGAGGAGAGAGATAGAGGGATGGTAGAAGGGGAAGAACAACCATGAATATGAAGTCACTTCCTCCTTCCCTCCCTCCCTCCCTTCCTCCTTCCCCCCCCCCCCCCCCCATTGAGAGAGCAGCCCTGAGGCTCAGATGGAACTCTTGCTCGCTGACCTCCGACCTCTGACCTGTCTGTCTGTCCTCTGGACTGCTAACTTGTTTGTACTGTTTTCAGACAAAATACACAGGATTTTACCTTTAAAAAAAAGAAGCCATTTTCTGTATGACCCCAATTCATTTAAACAGGGACTGTTTCAAGTTAGGGAGGTGTTAAACAATAGACGTGTTAATGAATTTACCTCCATTCCAGTTTGATACTGGGACACAATAATGTCAAAAATGTACCACATATTTGACCCGCTACCCCTTTTACATACCTATACAAAGAAGAAGGTAACGAATTGTAAAAATAAGGGTTTAAGGTACTGTTTCCCACAGTGCCTTCGGAAAGTATTCAGACCCTTATTCTAAAATGGATTTAAATAAAAAAATCCTCATCAATCTACACACAATACCCCATAATGACAAAGCGAAAACAGGTTTTTACAAACTTTTACAAATGTATAAACATTTAAAAACAGAAATACCTTATTTACATAAGTATTCAGACCCTTTGCTATGAGACTCGAAATTGAGCTCAGGTGCATCCTGTTTCCATTGATCATCCTTGAGATGTTTCTACAACTTGATTAGAATCCACCTGTGGTAAATTCAATTGATTGGACATGATTTGGAAAGGCACACACCTGTCTATATAAGGTCCCACAGTTGACAGTGCATGTCAGAGCAAAAAACAAGCCATTAGGTCGAAGGAATTGTCCGTAGAAGTGCCTTGGTCAGGGAGGTGACCAAGAACCTGATGGTCACTCTGACAGAGCTCTAGAGTTCCTCTGTGGAGATGGGAGAACCTTCCAGAAGGACAACCATCTTTGCAGCACTCCACCAATCAGGCCTTTATGGTAGAGTGGCCAGACGGAAGCCACTCCTCAGTAAAAGGCACATTACAGCCCACTTGGAGTTTGCCAAAAGGCACCTAAAGACTCTCAGACCATGAGAAACAAGATTCTCTGGTCTGATGAAACCAAGATTGAACTCTTTGGTCTGAATGCCAAGCGTCATTTCTTGAGGAAACCTGGCACCACCCTACGGTGAAACATGGTTGAGGCAGAATCATACTGTGGGGATGTTTTTCAGCGGTAGGGACTGGGAGACTAGTCAGGATCAAGGCAAAGATGAACGGAGCAAAGTACAGAGAGATACTTGATAAAAAAACCTGCTCCAGAGCGCTCAGGACCTCAGACTGGGGTGAAGGTTCACCTTACAACAGGACAACGACCCTAAGCACACAGCCAAGACAACGCAGGAGTGGCTTCGGGACAAGTCTGTGAATGTCCTTGAGTGGCCCAACCAGAGCCCGGACGTGATCGAACATCGCTGGAGAGACGTGGAAATAGCTATGCAGCAACGCTCCCCATCTAACCTGACAGAGCTTGAGAGAATCTGCAGAGGAGAATGGGAGAAACTCCCCAAATACAGGTGTGCCAAGCTTGTAGGGTCATACCCAAAAAATAAATAAAAAGCTATAGTCAAAAAAAATAAAAAATAAAGACTTGAGGCTGTAATCGCTGCCAAAGGTGCTTCAACAAAGTACTGAGAAAAGGGTTTGAATACTTATGTAAATGTGATATTTCCGTTTATTTTTATTTTTAATACATTAGGAAAAATGTCTAAAAACCTGTTTTTGCTTTGTCATTATGGGGTATTGTGTGTAGATTGATGAGGGGAAAAAACGATGTAATCAATTTTAGAATAAGGCTGTAACCTAACAAAATCTGGAAAAAGTGAAGGGGTCTGAATACTTTACGAAGGCACCCTACCTAATGATAAGGTGGACAGGCTCATAGAATGACTGGAATGGAATCAATGGAATGGTATCCAACTCATGATGTGTTTTATACTGTTCCATTACTATGAGCCCGTTCTCCGATTAAAAGTGCCACCAGCCACCACTGATGTGGCTGTATCTGGGACTCACTTCGAAGGATTCCTGGCTGACCATACCTGTCTGTCCACAATGATCTGTTCTGGACAAATCAAATCAAATTTAATTTGCCACATGCGCCGAATACAACAGGTGTAGACCTTACAGTGAAATGCTTACTTACAAGCCCTTAACCAACAATGCATTTTAAACATAGAAAATAGAAAAGGTGTTAAGTAAAAAAAAATGAAAGCAAATAACTAAAGAGCAGCAGTAAAATAAAATAACAGTAGGGTGGCTATATACGGGGGGGTACCGGTGCAGAGTCGATGTGAAATAACAGTAGGGAGGCTATATACAGGGGGGTACCGGTGCAGAGTCGATGTGCAGGGGCACCGGCACTGGCTAGTCGAGGACATGGTTTACAGCAGCGTTTCTTAGTTCCAGTCCTCACAAGAAAACCTGAGTCAATTAGTCCACTAATCATCTAGCCAGTTGAATCAGGAGTGTATACATTAGTTGCAGATGTTGCAAAAAAGTTTTCTCTGTTGCAAAAATGTTGTGCAACAGAAACCGTTTACTCTAGGAAGCAGCAAATGGAACGAAATGGGGAGGGACCTACCTGAATTCGTCCAATAGAAACTCTTGCTTTCGATGCAAACCGTTTTCCATTTGGAGTTAACTGTTTCTGTCGCAAAGCGTTTTGCAACAAACTACACGTTTGGCAACAGACTAAACATTTTGCATTTAAATCCAACTTCTGAATACACCCCAGGTATGTTTGTCCCGGGCTACAATAAGAATTCGTATTGTTGGAGGTACTCGAAAAAACGAGTTGAAAAACACTGTCTTAAAGGCCCAGTGCAGTCAAAAACGTGATTTTCCTGTGTTTTATATATACTGAACAAAAATATAAACGCAACAACAATTTTACTGAGTTACAGTTCATATAAGGAAATCAGTCAATATAAATAAATAAATTAGGCCCTAATCTATGGATTTCACATGACTGGGCAGGGGCACATAGGCCCACCCACTGTGGAGCCAGGCCCAGCCAATCAGAATGGGGTTTTCACCATAAAGGGCTTTATTACAGACAGAAATATACCTCAGTTTCATCAGCTGTCGGGGTGGCTGGTCTCAGACGATCCCGCAGGTGAAGAAGCCGGATGTGGAGGTCCTGGGCTGGCATGGTTACACATGGTCTGCAGTTGTGAGCCTGGTTGGAGGTACTGCCAAATTCTCTAAAACAACGTTGGAGGCAGCTTATGGTAGAGATATGAACATTCACCTTTCTGGCAAAAGCTCTGATGGACATTCCTGCAGTCAGCATGCCAATTGCACGCTCCCTCAAAACTTGGAGACATCTGTGGCATTGTGTTGTGTGACAAAACTGCACATTTTAGAGTGGCCTTTTATTGTCCCCAGCACAAGGTGCACCTGTGTAATGATCACGCTGTTTAATCAGCTTCTTGAAATGCCACACCTGTCAGGTGGATGGATTATCTTGGCAAAGGAGAAATGCTCACTAACCTATGTAAGAATGCTGTTCATTGACTATAGCTCAGCATTCAACACCAAAGTACCCTCCAAGCTCATCATTAAGCCCGGGACCCTGGGTCTGAACCACGCCCTGTGCAACTGGGTCCTGGACTTCCTGACGGGCCGCCCCCAGGTGGTGAAGGTAGGAAACAACACATCCACTTTGCTGATCCTCAACACTTGGGGCCCCACAAGGGTGCGTGCTCAGCCCCCTCCTGTACTCCCTGCACTCCTCCAACTCAATCATCAAGTTTGCAGATGACACAACAGTAGTAGGTTTGATTACCAACAATAACGAGACCGCCTACAGGGAGGAGGTGTGGGCTCTGGGAGTGTGGTGCCAGGAAAATAACCTCTCACTCAACATCAACAAAACAAAGGAGATGATCGTGGACTTCAGGAAACAGCAGAGGGAGCACCCCCCTATCCACATCGACTGGACCGCAGTGGAGAAGGTGGAAAGCTTCAAGTTCCTTGGTGTACACATCACTGACAAACTGAAATGGTCCACCCACACAGACAGTGTGGTGAAGAAGGCGCAACAGAGCCTCTTCAACCTCAGGAGGCTGAAGAAATTTGGCTTGGCACCTAAAACCCTCACACACCTTTACAGATGCACAATTGAGAGCATCCTGTCGGGCTGTATCACCGCCTGGTACGGCAACTGCACCGCCTGCAACCGCAAGGCTCTCCAGAGGGTGGTGCCGTCTGCCCAACTCATTACCAGGGGCAAACTACCCGCCCTCCAGGACACCTACAGCACCCGATGTCACAGGAAGGCCAAAAAGATCATCAAGGACATCAACCACCCGAGCCACGGCCTGTTCACCCAGCTATCATCTAGAAGGCGAGGTCAGTACAGGTGCATCAAAGCTGGGACCGAGAGACTGAAAAATCAGCTTCTATCTCAAGGCCATCAGACTGTTAAATAGCCATCACTAGCACATTAGAGGCTGCTGCTGCCTATTGAAATCACTGGCCACTTTAAGAAATGGAACACTAGTCACTTTAATAATGTTTACATATCTTGCATTACTCATCTCATATGTATATACTGTATTCTATACTATTCTACTGTACCTTAGTCCATGCCGCTCTGACATCATTGGGTATATGTTGTGAAATTGTTAGATATTACTTGTTAGATATTACTGCACTGTCGGAACTAGAAGCACAAGCATTTCGCTACACCCGCAATAACTTCTGCTAAACACGTCTATGTGACCAATAAAATGTGATTTGATTTAACAGGGATGTAAACAGATAAATAAGCTTTTTGTGCGCATGGAAAATGTCTGGGATCTTTTATTTCAGCTCATGAAACATGGCACCAACACTTTACATGTTGCGTTTAT